CCCCAAAACCCCAAAACCCCAAAACCCCGTGTCGAACTAATTTGGTTGAATTTAGAGAAATACATCAGTTTTCCAACTTTGTTGAGTAAATTGTATCCTTAATATTAGATTACGGCGACTATAACATGATTCAGGTTGTATTTTCTCAATATTTTTTGGAAAAGGCTCTTTACAGAAAGGTTCAAACTTAATTTGATTTTTTCTAATGTAAGTCTCAAATCTGATTTTGATATGGCATGCACGAAGTTCTCAAGCTCTTTTGGGTTCTCTTCCCAGTGCATAAGTAGATTTTGGCGCCTTCCCTGGAAATTAAGATATTTTATCTTTGTTCCTTTGAGTCAAATGGAAAGGTCAAGAACTGTAGGCAGAAATATTATGCAGCCTTCAAATGTGCAATTAAATTTTAGTTTATTGGCAGCAAATATTCTCTTGAGTTGAGATTCATTGATATTATAATTTCTAAAGCAAATCTCTGTTTTAGCAATGTGACTACTTCTGGCTATCATCGGCATAAATTGATGAATACTCTTCAATCCTTTGGATCCTAATTCCAGTGTACTTAATTTTGTGGGATTAATGCTTTCCATAAAATTTCTTGCATAATTTCTATTTTTATTATAATTTTGAATTTTAACTCAAGAAAACTCTGGAAGAGGGATACCATGCATTTTCTTCAGCATTTTTATATCTTTCATAGCATCAATTTTAAAAGAAGATACTTTCATATTTTTAAATTTCTTCTTCTGAACTTTCAAATTTATAGCTGATGAAGACCAAATTTGTAAATTTATCTTACTCTCTTCCGATTCCAGACAATTTTCAGCTCTTAGTACTTCTTTATTAATGCATACAGTTGGTATTAAACTCTGGTTTTGGGAGGTCTCCTTTAGAGGCTCCGAGCTTAGCTCGTTTATAAAAGTATTAGGAATTGGCTTGAGGTGTACAAACTAGAGAGTCTGTCTGATTATAACTTTTGTCAGCATCCAGAGAGCTTGGTTCACCATGGACTGATGGGATTTCGTCTTTGCTCAAGAGATCTTTATGACTAATCTCTGCATGATGTTCCATCTTCCTTAATTGCTCAATATTTTCATCGAACAAGTCTTTATATTTGTTTAAAAGGTAATCAGCAGATTTTAATATAATGTCAAGGCTCCAGCTGATGCTTTGGTCTTGATAAATAAAATTTCTCCAGCCAACATCATTAGATTCTCCTATGGAAATTTTATGATTGGAATATGGGAAAATAGTGTCCCAAAATGAAATATTTATATAATTCTTTAGTCTTAGTACTCTAATGCTATCACAGGTTTGAAAGAGATTGATCTTAACAATGGTAGTACGATGTTTGAGAATAAGCTAAACAAAGGAATGCTAAAATACTCAAATATCTTGTGACTAATATTCATCACCTACTATCTCCAATTCTCCTAAAATTCAAAGCCTTATTGCCAATTTAGATGTTGAGGGATTAATCAAGAGGAACAGGCATAGATTAAGCAACAATACTTGTTATTCTAAAAAAAATTCCTTACTGTACCGGAGCATGGAGACCTCCTCTTTGATGGCCATAAATGCCTTCTGGATTTGAGTAATTCTGGCTGGAAATTTCAAGGGCCCATGGTCTAAATACCTGACAAGTGTTCTCTTTGAGTAATTTAGGGCATATTGGAGATCCTTCACCTTCTGCATCTCTGAGGAATAGGCTTCTGGAGTAGCAGGAATTTGCGAAGATAGTTGGGAGGAGGAAGACTCCATTTATAATATGTTTATAATATTATTTCAAGATCTTCGCTTATATTGGGGTTTTGGGGTTTTGGGGTTTTGGGG